TGGCGCGGCCTGGAACATCATGACGCGCCCAGCGGCGTCCGTAGCGTACAGGTTGTCCAAGCTCGTCGGCTGCCTCGCGGTGCGGGAGGCGCGCGGGCCGCGGTGAAACTCCGGCACAGAGGGGGTGGGGCTCGCCGAGCCCCAGAGGGTGTCTGCCCGCCACACCCCTCAGTCCGCCTCCTCCTACTCCTTTTCCTCATCCTCTTCCTCATCCTCCTCCTCTTTCCTCCTCCTCCTCCTCCTCTTTCCTCCTCCTCCTCCTCCTCCTCCTCCTCCTCCTCCTCCTCCTCCTCGTTCCCCGTTCCTCGTTCCTCCTCGTTCCTCCTCCTCCTCCTCCTCCTCCTCCTCCTCGTCCTCCTTCTCGTCCTCCTCTCTCCTCCTCCTCCTCCTCCTCCTCCTCCATCTCCTCCTCCTCCTCCTCCTCCTCCTCCAACTCCTCCTTCCCTTCTTACGCATAATTCCTCCCTGTCGCACGCTTAGACGTGTTGGTAGGGCGGGCCAGGCGAGACGCATGAGACTTCCTCAGTTTTCACGATCCTGAATCTTGAAGTTTGCAACAGTTTGAAACATGGAGGGCGGGTGGCTTTGAAAATGTGGCTTAGCGCCGTGCACCTTCGTTTCAAATTTGCAACAGCTTCAAAGATGGCGGGCGGTGACTTTCAAAATGCCGCTCCGTCTCAATGCAGCGCACATTCGTTGTTCGTTGCTGCGACAGCTTCAAGGATGGCAGGCGACCAGTTTTCAAAATGCGGTTCCTGCCTCAGCGCCGCGCACATTCGTTTTCAAAGCTTGCAGCAATTTCAACAAATGGAGGGCGGGTGGTTTCCAAAATGTGACGCTCGCCTAAGCACCACACACTTTTTTGTAAGTACACAACAATGTCAAGTACACAACAATGTCAAGGATGGCGGGCAAGTGGTTTTCAAAATGCGGTTCCCGCCATCGCTCCGCGCACATCCGTTTTTCAAAGTTGCAACAGTTTCAGGGATGGCAGGTGGACACTGTTGAACAACGCGGTTCCCGCCTCAGCGCCGCGCATATTCGTTTTCACACTTCGCAAGAGTTTCAAGGATGGCGGGCGGGTGGTTGTTAAAATGCGGCCATCGCCATAACGCCGCGCACATTCGATCTCAAAATTTACAACCATTTGAAGGGTGGCGGGCGGGGTGTTCAAAATGCGGCCACCACCTTTACACCGCTTCAAGGATGCCAGGCGGGTGGTTGCCTACATGCGGTTCCCGCCGCAGCGCCGCACACATTCAATTTCAAAGGTTGCAACTGTTTCAGGGATGGCGGGCGGGTGGTGTTCACAATGCGACCACCGCCTTAGCGCCGCGCAAGTTGGTTTTACTAAGTTTGCAAGGATTTCAAGGATGGCGGGCGGGCGGTATTCAAACATTTGATCTCGCCTCACCGCCGCGCACATTCTTTTTAAGGTTGCAAACAGTTTCAAGGATCCGTCATGTAGACATCCCTAGAGTGGTGTTCTGGCATGCCTGAACTGTGTCAGGACGCAAAAGTAAGGTTGATTTGCGGTGTTGAATTTCCAAGAATGGTGTTCTGACACGATTTCTCACTCTCCTCTCCTCCTCCTCCTCCTCCTCCTCTTCTTCCTCCTTCTCCTCCTCTTTCCTCCTTCCTCCTCCGTCTTTCTCCCCACTGAAAGGTCAACTGCCACCCCGTGCCCCGTCCAAGATCATGGGTCCTGGCTGGCACGCTCGGCGCGGCCTCGGGAAGGGACGAGGGCCTACGGGGCAGAGGGAGAGAGGACGGGGGGGGGGGAGAGGACGAAGGGGGGAAAAAAGGAGACGAGGGAGTAACGGAGAAGGAGGGGGGGTGAGGACAACGACGAGGAGCGAGGATCATGATCTCCGACGCCGCGATTGTGTTCGCAATGTCGACCCCAAGAGGTCTCGACCACTTCCCCGGGACCGGCTTTTCATCCGGGACCGCTCTTTGATTGCACTAGCGCCTGAGGGGGGGCCGCGGGCCAAAAATAACTGACAACCCACAATCGCGATTCTGCCGCGACGACGACGACGACGACGACGACGACGACGACGACGTGGGAGGAGAGATGGGGGAGATGGGGAAAAACAGCGGGACGGCACCATGGGAGGGAAGGGGCGCGCGCCCTCCGCCCCAGACTGTGCCCCCCCTCCGCCTGGCCCCCAAACACTGTACGCACGGACGGGCCCCGGCGCCGCCGTCGTCGCCGTGCCCCCCGCCCCGCCCGGGGGGGCCTCGCGTGGACAGGGGCGCCGCCGTCGCCGTCGCCGCGCCGCCCCAGCAACAAAAAACAGTGGAGGCCCACGCGCACTTGCCAGCGGCAATCCACGGGCATTCGACAGGAGATTTTGCATTTGGAAGCGACTCACCAGCGGCAGTCCAGCGAAACTTCCCCAGCGCAGCAAACAATGCAGCGCTGCAATTGTCAGACTGCGGGCAAAATGCAAAAACAAATCAGCCTGGCGAAGGACCCAACCATATGCAGTTGTGAATGCCGCAATTGTGCTGGGTGGTGGCGGACGCATGCGGGCGGTGCCACTGGGACCTTCGGTGGAGCTCCCTATGGGGCCACGAAACGCTGTACTGGGTGGGTGAGACGCGGTCAGCAAGGGCTGTGCTGCGTGGTGGCGGACGCATGCGAGCGGTGCCACTGGGACCTTCGGTGGAGCTCCCTATGGGGCCACGAAACGCTGTACTGGGTGGGTGAAACGCAGGCAGGGAGCAAGGGCTGCGCAGGGTGGTGGCGGACGCATGCGGGCGGTGCCGCTGGGACCTTTGGTGGAGCTCCCTATAGGGCTACGAAGCGCTGTTCTGGGTGGGTGAAGCGCAGGGAACAAGGGCTGTGCTGGGTGGTGGCGGACGCAAGCGGGCAGTGCCACTGGGACCTTTGGTGGAGCCCCCTATGGGGCCACGAAACGTGCGAGGGGTGTGCCAGAATGGGGTGTGGAACCGCATGCCAGCGCAGACAATGGGGCCTTCGGTGGAGCTCCCTTTGGAGCCACGAAACGTGTGAGGGGTGTGCCGAAATGGGGGGTGGAACCGCATGCGAACGTAGCCACTGCGGCATTCGGTGGAGCTCCCTTGGGGCCACCGTGCCGAAAAAAACGGGTGGAACCGCATGCGAGCGCAGCCACTGGGGCCTTCGGTGGAGCTCTCTATGGGGCCACGCACCGTGTGAGGGGTGTGCCGAAATGGGGGGGGAAACCACATGCGAGCGCAGCCACTGGGGCGTTCGGTGGAGCTCCCCATGGAGCCACCCACGAAGCGTGTGAGGGGTGTGCCGAAATGGGGGGTGGAACCGCATGCGAGCGCAGCCACTGGAGCGTTCGGTGGAGCTCCCTATGGGGCCACGAAACGTGTGAGGGGTGCCAAAATGCCCGCATGCGGGCGCAGCCACTGGGGCCTTCGGTGGAGCTCCCTATGGGGCCACGAAACGTGTGAGGGGTGTGCCAGAATGGGGGGTGGAACCGCATGCGGGCGCAGCCACTGGGGCCTTCGGTGGAGCTCCCTATGGGGCCACGAAACGTGTGAGGGGTGTGCCAGAATGGGGGGTGGAACCGCATGCGGGCGCAGCCACTGGGGCCTTCGGTGGAGCTCCCTATGGGGCCACGAAACGTGTGAGGGGTGTGCCAGAATGGGGGGTGGAACCGCATGCGGGCGCATGGAGCTCCCTATGGTGCCACGAAGCGTGTGAGGGGTGTGCCAGAATGGGGGGTGGAACCGCATGCGGGCGCAGACACTGGGGCCTTCGGTGGAGTTCCCTATGGGGCCACGAAACGTGTGAGGGGTGTGCCAGAATGGGTGTGGGAGGGGGAGGAGGGGGGAGGAGGGAGGGAGGAAGGAGGCGGGAACGCGGGGCTCCGTCTCTTCAAAACGAGGACCCAACACCACAGGATGGTTGGGAAAGGGGAGGAGGAGGAGGAAGGAGGAAGGAACGCGGGGCGACGTCCCTTCAAAACGAGGACCCAACACCACAGGATGGTTGGGAAAAAAAAAACATGCCAGCGTGGACCCAAAACAATTTGTTTCTAGCAATTCACGTAGTGCAACCCATGTGAGGCAAGGTATGTGGTGTCACCACCGTGTCGCAATCTATGCCGTGCAGTCGACGTTGTGCAGTATATGGCGTGCCACAAATATTGTGCAATATCTGAGTTGCGATCTACGCGGCGCGACCTAAGAAGTGGAACAATCAACGTGGCGCAAAATCTGGTGTGAAATTGGAGCGTGTTCGCAATGAGCTGCCAACTCCATTGCTAACACAATCGCCCCACCCACCCGCAGCTTGGTTTGTAAAACCATGCGGCGGCGATTGCGATGTGTGTCTGGCGTTGGCTGGCGCATGTCTGCGGCCGCGCTAGCCTGGCTTGTTTGGCGCGACCGAGGCGGCAGAGGTGACGCTGACCGCTGGGCACTTCCCACCGGGCACTTCAGTATGAGTCGGCGACTCGGTCTGGCGCGGTACAATGGCAACGTCGACAACGGTAGACACGACGATGACAGCAACGATGCTGGTGGCGACGATGATGAGAATGACGACGGCACGGCCAGCAACAGCGCCGATGCTGACCACGCCGACGACGACGACGACGACGACGGCGCCCCCGCGTCGGCGATGCAAGTTTTGAAAGAGTTTGACACGCGCGCGCGGCCCACTCTCGAGCGAGACCCGCACGGCATTATTCGACACGGATCGCGCCCCCCCCCCCCCCAGCGCGCGCGCAAGGGGGCCCGGCGCCACGTCCGCCCCCCAGAGCTGTGCCCGACACAGGCCGCGTCATTCCCCAGAACATGGCTCCCCGGAGCGATTGTTCTGTTCGCGCCACTGGCCCGCGCGGCCCGCCCCCAAGCCCTGCCTGCGCGCGGGCGTCGCCCCCCGCCATGCAGGGTCCAATGGGGCCCCGCCGCCGACGGCGCCACCTCCGCGTTCCGCCTCCTCGGCCGCGCGCGGACGCCGGGCGCGACCCCCGCCCCGAAGGACCGCGTGGAACCTCGCCGCTGCCGGCGCCGCCCTCAGTGGCTGCGCCGGCCTTCTGTCGGCGCGCCAGCGCGGCCCGCGCCCCGAGAGGTCGGGCAGGGCCGCGCCGCTGCCGGCGCTCTGTTCGGCGGCCGGCCGTCTGCTGGTCGATCTCGCGCACAGTCCCGCCGCGCGCCGCGGCGGCGCCGGCGGGCCGCCAGCCGTCGGCGAGTCTGTCGGCGTCGGCGAAGCTGTAGGCGAAGCCGGAGGCGAGGCTGTAGGCGGGGCCGCGGGCCGCTGGCCGTCCGCGAGGCCGTCGGCAATGCTGTCGACGAGCGCGACAGCGGAGCCCGATCGGCTTGCTCTCCGTGCCAGGCCCGCGCCGCCCCCTGGTCTGCCGGCGGGCGGTCACGGAATGCCCGGCATGGCTCTTGGCCCAAATTGCGCCACGTTCTCACCGCTGACCAGACAGGAGTAACTGCCCGCATTTCCGCCCCAAGAAATCGCACGCACTGCCGGCGATCTGCGATGGCCAGGCGCGCGGCCCACCCCGGGAACTCGGCGCCGCCGCCTTGAGATGGGAGAGGGGCACAAGGAGTAACGCTGGAATTGCCCCAGCGCGATGGCCGGCGCCGCTGGCCCCCAGCCCCCCTCCGGCAGCTGCCGCCCGCTCCTCGAGCAGCGCAGGGGCCCGCTGCAACGGCTCGCTCGCCCGTCTCGCAAAGCCGCGAGAATTCCTGGCGAAGAGCTCCAGCTGGCACTCCGCGCGCTCGCAGCGCTCCGCGCTGCAGGCCGACGCGCGCCCGCGCGGCGGCGGCTTGCTGCCCCGCGCGCGCCCGCGCCCGCCCACCTCCAGCGCCGCCGCGACGGCGCCGTCGTCGACGCGCTCGCCGTTCCCGGGCTGCGCCCTTCCGACGCGCGCGACCCCCCGCCGCGGCGCGCGGCTGGCGCTCGCCGACGCGCGGCCCGTCCAAAGCAAATTTTTAAACGATCACGAAGCCCTTCTGCTTCACGGGGGCGCTGCCGTCGAGAGAAACGACGAGGTCCTTTCCGGCGACGCCAACCTCGCCAGCGGCACCGCCCTGGGCGTTGCGCGCCCGCGCCCGGGAACGGGCGGGGCGCCTTGACCTGGGAACGCGCGACTGCGCCTTCCGCGCCCACCCCCCGCCGCCGCCGCCGCCGCCGCCAGCCATCGAGCAAGGCCCCCGCGCAATCCGCGGCGCGGGCGCGCAGCGGCGGCGGCGCGAGCCGGCGCTGCACGTCTGCCTGCGAGCGCGACGTCGCGCTCCGTTCCCCGTGCGCGCGCGCAAAGGACGACCAGGTCGCCCCCTGGGCGCCGCCCCCGCGCCCCTGCCCCCCCCATCCAAGACCGGCCGAGAGTGGGCCGCGCCGAAGGAGCTCGGGGGGAACGGCCTGCCCGGCGAGGGGCCCCACGCCGCCGCGCGCGGCGGCGTCGAGCAGCGGCGTCGACGCCCCCGACATCAGCGGGGCAATCGTCGCTGCCATCTGCCGGCGCTGAGCTGCTCTTGCTATGGCCGCCTGGGAGCGGACCCCTGGCGCCAGCCAGCGCCCGCGCGGCCCCCGCGCCGGAGGGTCGCGCGGGGCTGCGGGCCCGGGTCTGCGGAGGGCCGCAGAGCGCCGCGCAGCGCAGGAACCCGTTGCCCCGCTCGCTCGTCTCGCCTCGCAGGCGCTGATCTCGGCGACGCGGCTGGTGAGGCTGGCCACCAGCTTCCTCTTGTAGCAGCTCGATGAGCAGCGCCGGGGCCCGCTGCCGCAGCTCGCTCGTCTCGCGGGCTCTGACCCCGCGATGTAGCTGGCGGCGCCGGTCTCCAACATCCGCTCGCATCGGCTCGCCGAACGGCGCCGAACCTACTGACCCAGCGCGCGCATCTCGCACGGCAGGAGCTGATCCCCACAATGTAGCTGCCGACGCTGCATCCCCAGCATTTTTCTAGCCGCTCTCGCCGCGCTGCGCGGCGCCAGGGTCTGCGGCCAAGGCGAACCTGCCTCGCAATGCGGGCGCTGATCCCAACGTTGCACAGTTCCCTGTCGCAGCGGCCTGCCTGCTGGGCAGCGTGGGGGCCTGCTGACACTGCCTCGACTCGCTGAGCTGTTGGGCGAACACCTCCATCACTCGCCGTCCGAGATCACCATCTGCGCGTCATCTCGGTCTTCCGCGAATGCCGTGTCCGCCGCCTGCAGGCCTGCGTCACGCTGGCAAATCCGCGCTGCCCGCTGCAGCCCGGCGATGTCGGATTCCCGGCGCGGGATCGGGACCACTTCCAACGCCGCCGCGACGGCTCCTTTGTCGAAGCTCTCGCCGCCCCCGAACCACACCAGCTGGATGCGCATGTCCTCTACTCTGTAGTCCGTGCTCTGGCACTTGCCCGGAATATTCAAATCAAAATTCCAGACGATGGCTAAGCCTTTTTGCTTCAAGGGGGTTGCTGCCGTCGAGCGCCGGCGACGCCGATCTCGTCGCCGACACAGTCCTGCACGTCGCCCTACTGCATCTAGGAACGGACGGGGTGCCTTGACATGGGGCACTTGCGGTTCGCGCGGACGGGGATGTCCACTTTCCGCGCGCGCTAACGGACACCGCCGGCGCAAGCCGTCGAGTAAGGCCCCCACGCTGTCCACGGCATGGGCGCGCTATCGCGGTCGCGCGAACCCTCGGTATCGGCGGCGCGCGGCCGCCCTCCAGCTGCTCGCTGGCAGAGATTGAGCACTCTCGAACCACAGACGTTGATCACATCGCCCTAACCTATGACGCTTACGCCTCCAATTGTTTTTTCGCGGCAGCCCGTTGAACCGCGCAAGAGCATGCTACCACCAAACTCCTCCAGTCCCCACGCGGATGTTCCCGACGTCCACGAGGCCTCGATGTCGCACGAGGCCATCTTACGGCACGAGGCTTAAAGATTGCACGAGGCCTGGATATCGCACTACCGCACGGTCAAATTAACGGGGGTCTGCCCGGCCTCGGTGACACCCGAAACCTGGACGTCGCCCGCGACCCCGGTGTCACCGAGGTTCCACATTGCGAAGCTCGCGAGGACTACTTGGCCCCGATGTCGCTTGAAACCCAATGCAAAACAAGAGACTCAGCGCAAAGCAATGCGAATAAATTAAAAACAACGCAACGTAATGCAAAACAACGCACAGCAATGCAAATCAATTCAAGACAACGAAAAGCCGGACATGGAACGAATCTAACAGCAGCGACGAGCGGCGACGGCGGCGACGGGGCGGCGACGGCGACTGCATAGCCGCCAGACCGACGCACAGGCCCAGACGATGGGCGGCGACGAGGCAGCGACGGGGCGACGACCGCGACGACATAGCCGCCAGACCGACCGTCAGGCCCGGACCTGACGGCGACGAGGCGGCGACGGGGCGGCGACGGCGACTACATAGCCGCCAGACCGACTGTCTGGACCAGCTCCTTAGAACAAATCACATTTCCTACGTGCTAGCACTGCTTGGGGGACAAAATAATTTCGAATGAAATGTATCTGAATGCGGCGCCTGAGATGATCAATCCACTTGGAAGCCCAACCTGCCGCCTTCCTCCTCCTCCTCCTCCTCCTCCTCCTCCTCCTCCTCCTCCTCGTCCTCCTCCTCCTCCTCCTCCTCCTCCTCCTCCTCCTCCTCCTCTCCTCCCCTCCTCCTCCTCCTCCTCCTCCTCCTCCTCCTCCTCCTCCTCCTCCTCCTCCTCCTCCTCCTCCTCCTCTTCCTCCTCCCCCTCCTCCTCCTCCTCCTCCTCCTCCTCCTCCTCTCCCCCCCCATCGTCCTCCCTCCTCCCTCCTCCTCCTCCTCCTCCCCTCCTCTCCTCCTCCTCCTCCTCCTCCTCCTCCTCCCCTCCTCCTCCTCCCCCCCCTCCTCCTGCTCCTCCTCCCCCCCTCCTCCTCCTGCTCTTCCTCCTTGTTCTACTCCTCTTCCTCCTCCTCCTCCCTCGTCCTCTTCCTCTTTCTCCTCCTCCTCCTCCTCTTCCTCGTCCTCCTCCTCCCCCTCCTCCCCCTCCCTCCTCCTCCCCCTCCTCCTCCCCCTTTTTCCCTCCTTGTCCTCCTCATCATCCTCATCAGCATAAACCATCAATCATCAGCACCACCATCATCATCATCATCATCATCATCATCATCATCATCATCATCATCATCATCATCATCATCATCATCATCATCATTCATCATCATCATCATCATCATCATCATCATCATCATCATCATCATCATCATCATCATCATCATCATCATCATCATCATCATCATCCACATCCTCATCGTCATTCGCATCATCATCGCCAGCATCATCATTATCATCATCACCACCACAATCATCACATCATCATGGACATATCATCATCGTCATCATCGACATCATCGTCCCCATCATCATCATCATCATAGCCGTAATCATCAACAATAACAATACCATCATCATCTTCATCGTCATCATCGTCACACTCATCATCACCATCATCACTATCATCATCAGCATCTTCCCACCCATCCTACCTCATTCATGTTCCCCCTTCCCTACACGTTGCTCCCTCCTCCTGCCGTGCTCCTCTAGTCCCCATCCCCTCCCGTGCCCCGCGCAGCCTCCTCCGAAGGGTAGTATCGACGGCGGCAAATTGCAAACGCCTTACTAGAAGCGTGCGCTGAAGGCTTTATACCTTGCAACGACGACAACGAACCTGGTTCAACGCGGACAGGAACTGACGCCGGTCGTTGCCACGATTGCTGCGCCGCCTTGACCGCGCCCATTACCCATCCCTCCTCCGCCCGAGGAGGACGCGGAGAAGGAGGAGGTGGGAGAGGAGGAAGAGGGGGAGGAGGAGGAGGAGGAGGAGGAGGAGGAGGAGGAGGAGGAGGAGGAGGAAGAGGAGGAGGAGGAGGAGGTATTGGCGATACAATATATTGCCGATACATCGGCGATAGGCCCCGATAGAGGGGCCGCCCGTTCCCGGGCTGGGCGGGGCCATCGAGCCCGTACCTGTTATCAACGGGCGCTTGGGGGGTCGATGCGTCCCCCCCTGCTTATCCTCCCCGGCCGTAGCCCCAAACAGCGCCACCTCCCCGCGCGCCGCCGCCGTTAGTCAAGCGGTGGTCGATGTTTCGACCGCGTGCGCTTCAGGAGTCTCCGCCCTGTCGCCCAGGACAGGCCTGGGGGTAGGCGACAGGCTCGTTCTCGTCCTCGGCCGTCGTGCTCACGGCTGGGAGGATCACGCAAGCGAAATCCAACCGAAATCCACCCCCCCCGCTCGCCACGCCAACCCCTCTCCGTGCGCCCCC